AAAATAAAAAATATTGACTCTACCAATTGTTGGTGAGGATGTGACACAGCTGGAATGCTCATACACTCACTTCACTCAAACAACCCCTTTAAAGAACTCGCAGTTTCTTACAAAGTTGATCATATACTTCCCATATGCAGAGCAACCCCAGGTGTTTACCCAAAGGAAAGGGAAACATATGTACACAATAAAGGACTGTATAGGCATATGCAGACCATCCTATTCTTATAATAGGCCAAAGACTGGAAATAACTCAAACATTTATCCACAGAATAAATAAATGGCGATATATTCATGCAAGGGAATACTATTCGAAAAAAATAAAAAGAACAAGTTACAGATACATGGATGGAATAACATCGATGACTCTCAGAGACATTGTGTTGGGTGAAAGAAGCCAAATGCAAAAGAATTACTATTCTGTCTCTCCAGTTTTGTGATATTCTAGAATAGGTAAAACAGCCATAGTGACAGCAAGCAGGGCAGTGATTGCCAGTTGGATGTGGAGACTGTTTAGAGAAGGCCCAGCAGACTCTTTGGGGTGAATGAAAAAAAAATGTCATATCTTGTTTTGAGTGGTAGTTACACAGATGTAGGCAGTTGTCAAAAATCTTATAACTAAGTACTTAAGGTTTGTGCATATTAGTGTACTAGAGACTTGGTGCACTAAGTTAGTGCACCGGTAAGATCCCTAAGCCTGACTGGCAATCAGGGCTGATCTGTGGGGCAACTGAGGCAGACAGGGGCGTGAGGTGGGGGGGGCACTGGAACCTACCTTGGCTGGCCTGGGGCCTGTGGGCTGGGGGAAGCTCCTGCATTGAGCATCTGCCCCCTGGTGATCAGTGTGCATCATAGCGACCGGTTGTTCCACCGGTCATTCTGCTGTTCTGATGATTTGCATATTAGGTTTTTATTATATAGGATAGTTCTCACTTAATATTACTTTACAGGAACTGACATACAACAAAACCAATTTGGTCATCAACTAATTGATATAAACAAGAGTAAAATTACTACAGCATCTCATCATCAACATTATAATGAAATAAAGTTGAACAAAGTTACAATATTCAACAACCTGTTGTACTTAAATTGTAACCTCCAAGAGCACTGCTTTGACCTCTTGGTGGGTAAATATGCTTGGTAAGAACACAGGATTACTTTTCAGAGGATGATGTTAATGAACCATCACTAACATTTGAGGGTTTCAAAATGCATCCACCGATAAAGCTACCTTATGCTTTGTGATAAAAACATTAACATTGAAAAGACTGTACTGGTTGTATCTTTTGTCTTTAATAGGATTGTATTTGTAGGAACTTTTAGATGGTTGCTTAATTTCTCCCGTCAGGTGCAGATAATAGAGAGGCTGAGGAGGCAGATGTTTGTGTGGAGTCTATAGTCTCAAATCCCCTTTCGTGCAGGTGGACTAGGTATCAGGGTGGAGTGTGCTGGCTAGTTTTTTGACCTATCAGCAGTATGTTCAGTGCTTTGGGGATCACTTGATTGTTTTCCAGAAAATTCATTTGCATTCACACCAGGCTTCTGACCTGCCTGCTTCAGAAGATGTTGCACAGTATTAAACTGAGATGTCTTCCTCTTTTCAGTAAATCGAAACTTAAAATTGGCACCAGGCTCTAGGCGTTTGTATGGGAAGAATGATTACAGGAAATGAAGGACTGGATTTCAGCCTGGAATTTGCTTCCTCCCTCCTGTGGCAAGTAAATGTGGTCTCGCTGAGTGCTTTGTGTGGCCATCCCATTTTCTCTTCTGCTGCGGAGAAAGGGATTACAAGTACATGTATTCTTAGGAGCCTATCGTTATGTTTGGGTTTGATTTTGTTGTTGCTCCGTGGGAGTAGAGGAATTAGGGAGATTTTTCTTCCTGTGTTTCTTTTTGTTTTCGTAACTTTACCCACTCTGCAGTTTTTCTCCTACTTAAATTTTGAATTTGCTGTCTCATGCTTCTGGTGTAAAATTGATGTCAGACTTGTTCCTTGAGTATTGTGCTCTCTCTAAACTTAGAGATGTCTCTTCTGCCAGGACAGGCAGGTGGAGATTTTTTTTTTTTTTTGGGGGGGGGGCGAGAGGAGGAGGACTTGGGTTTGAACTTCAGTTTGAATCTGATGACCCTATTCTCTGGCTTCTGGGGGAAGTTGCAGAGTTAATACTTCTTTATAAAATGAGGACTATGGAGGATTCAATGATGTTCTCTATGGAAAGTCTGGCATACTGTGATGTGCAAAGAATCTTAGCTTCCTTCTCACATGTGAGCCACTGCCTTCTCCATCTTTATCACATCCTTTCAAATTTGCCCCACACTGGGGAACACATAGTGACCTTCCCTAGCTTGGGTCACTCCAGCCTCCTTTTTAAACTCCCCCCCCCAACCCCCCCCCCCCCCGTGGCCATGTTCCCAGAGGGCTGGCCCTGGGCACTGAGGGCATGTGGTGTGATGAGTAGCACACTGAAGCTAAGGCGTGCACTGATCCCCTGTTACTGGCTCTGGGTGTCCCTGGTTAAGAAGTGCTTGCCTGACTCGAGGTGCTGCTGTGCATCCCTTCCACCCTCACCAGTTTGTATCCTAATTTCTCAAATGTGCCCACCTGAGCCTCACTTCCCTCTAACTGACCAGAGTGGTTCCTGTGTATTTGGCACCTAACTGGTTAATAATGACTGCTAGCTAAGGACTTGTTAACCTAGAGGTGCCTTCTTCCCAATGGGACTGTTAGCACATCAAAAGGATGTTTTTAAAACCTCACTCAATAGTGTATGTGGAGGGGAGGGGAGAGTAATTAAGAGCCATTTGTCACCTAGCTCAACTCAATAAACATTTTTTGTTATGCTAAGAAACAAGAACAATCTAACGAAATTTAAATGACTAAGGCTGTGGCTTTAGCAAATACTTCAGGAATTTGGTCATTCTGAAAATCAGGATGGTAGAAACCTTTCTGGAGACACACTGTTAAAATTAGTTATATATATATGATACCTTCACAGCTCCAGGTTTTAAAAACCAACAACAAAATAACAATACTTTCAAATCTCCAAATTATCTGTGTTAATTTAGGAGGGTCTTCATATTTCAAACAGGGTAGTCCAAAGTTCCTTTTCTTTATTCCCCTCAGCAGTGAAAAGTTCTAAGATTCATAAAGTATTTAAAGTATTACATTATGGTTGTAAAGTGTTATCTTTCAATAATTGGATTCTTTTATGAATATGACTGAACAAGACTGCCTTCCAAGGGCCAAGCACCACCCTAGGCCAGTGGTAGGCAAACTGCGCCTTGCAAGCCACATGCAGCCCTAGCCCCTTGAGTTTTTAGCAAAGGCCAGTTTAGGAGTACCCTAATTGAGTTAATAACAATGTACCTACCTATATAGTTTTAAGTTTAAAAAATTTGCCTCTCAAAATAAATTTCAACCATTGTACTGTTGATATTTGACTCTGGTGACTAATGAGTTTGCCGACCACTGCCCTAGGCATTTGTAGAAAGAGCAAAACCCAAGTCCCCTCAGCTGGGCTCCTGGGAACCCAGGAGGTTAGCTATTGGAGGTGGAAGGCTGGACTGCAGAATGGGGACTACTAACCATTCAACTCCTTCCGGAAGTTTGCTTGGGGGTGGGGGGTAAGAGAATAACTTTTTCTTTCATGTAAGTAATATATGTTCTCTATAGAAAAATCAGGAAGTAGAACTAGCTAAAGATCTCTTAAAATAAAACCAGCAATTCTCCTATTCAGACAGTCCTTCTGATATCCCATGCCATGCATTTCTCCTGAACATATAAGCACTCAATATGCAAAGAGGTTAGTAGTCTCAAGTCCATCAAGGCCTGGCCACTCCACTGTTTTTGATATCCTAAAATGTGCTTTTTAAAAGTGAGGAAATACAAAAAAAGTATGATGTATATTGATGTATAGTGATATATATGTAACAACAACAAGAAAAGAAGGCATTCCGTGTGTGTGGACTGCATCTCAAGTGTAATTCTGAGGCTTGGGCCAATCTCCTTCCTTTCCACACACCCACTTCCATGCAGGGCCCTGTAAGAGGTTGTCTCCGAACCCAGGTTTTCACTAGGAATGTAACATGGCATCTCTGTCAACACATGTAATTCTATATCACTTTAATTTCTTCATAGCAGCCCCTTGGATGGACCACAGTGTATTTAATCCTCTTCCTGGACATTTATCCTTCACTTTCCTTGATAGTTCATATCATGGTGAATATTTTGGTACTTGCTTCTTTACCCATTTCCTTACTTGTTTCCTTGCAATGAATTCTAAGCTATGATTGATGGGGCAAAAGGTACTCACCTATTTGTAAGGTTGAACTGTTCTTTCTGAAAGACGTCCCTCCTGTTTTTAGAAAGGAGAGTCCTCCAGTGCTGGGGCTGGAGTGAAGCTTCTGTTTCGCATTCACAGATCCTGAGTGATGCAGACAGGGCCCATGAGAGAGTTCAGAGGCCACACCTTCTCTGTGTGAGAAGAGCAGTATGGCGGAAGGCTGCTCTGGGACCCCTTTGATTCTTCGCCCAACCAATTTCCAGCAAGAGTCCCTGACATTAATCTTGCCACATCTCCTCCACGCCCCTCACTTCTAAGCCTCACTCCACTCTACAATGAGTTGTGGCAAAATACCTATTCCGGCAGAATCAAATGGTGAGAACTCCAGATTTTCAGAACCCCGATGAACATGAGGGTCTGTCACACTTTATCCCCGGTTCTTGTTCCCAGTATCCCATCCTTCTAGGCCAGCTTGTCAATGGCCAGCCAGCTCCATGTTCCTTGCCACCAAAACCAAAACCAAAATCTCACTCAAAAACCAAAATCTAAGGACTCTGTACTCCCAGCCCCCGTTTGTTTGCTCTAAATTCTTTTCAGTTCCTTACCTCACTGACATCAAATTTGGCCCTGCAACTCTCTCCTTCCATACCCTCTCTATCTGCTCCTCCCAAACAAGCTCTGCCTCAGTATGCCAGGAACAGTGTCCTCAAAGGTAGCGCTCCTGGCTGTCCCCCTGTCGTCCACCCTTCCAATTGGACTCATCCCCTGTACCCTTCTCCAGCAGGTCCAATCCCGTATCTTTCCAGGCACATCCCATATGCTGTCTTCTCCAAGAAGTCTTCCCAGTCTTCTAGCCTAATAGCCTTTCCCTAAAGCTCCATAGAATATGATCATGACATATACACCCCACTGTGTCATGTAAATGGCACCACACAATTGCATATGTTCGTGTGTGTGTACCAGATGACTTTAAGTTCCTTGAAGGCAAAGCATGTATTATCTGTTTATCCTCCTCTTCTGAGTATTGAGAATCACTGTGCTTTACTCCAAGATATTGGTTCCATGAATTAATGAGCAGTGAAGGAACGTGAGCTGATGGATGAGTGAAGTGGGTGAAAGGAGCCTATTGGGTAAAGGTTTATTCCGTAGGAGTCTGGTGGTCCCCATTTCTCATAGGAGGGATTTAGGACAGTATTCTGATTGGAAAGGGGCTTCAAACACCTCATAAAGGAGTGAGACAAGAGCTGATGATGATGGAGAAGAGCTCGTCCCATCAGGCCCCTTGACATCCTTCCTTGGGTGCACCTTTAACTGTCCCTGAATTGAATGCTGTCTGTTGTTTTTGTGTTAGGGAATGTTTTGCCTTGATTAAAGTATATCTTGATGTTTTTGAAAGAAAAGTATTAAAGATGCCCATCATTTCTGCTTCTTGCAGGCAGCTATGGTTCTGAGCTCCGCACAGTTCTGGCTGGGATTATTTCTGGTTCCTACTGCATGTTTGATCGAAGATGTGGCATGGAGAGCGTAAGTGGAAACTGTTGTAATAACCCTAAGCCTTACTCATCTGCCCCTGCAGTTGTCTTTCACAAGCATTGGCACAGGATATGAAATGCTATGAGACTTTTGGAGAAACCAGTCTCCTGCCACCTGCCAGCAAAGGATGTAAAGGATGTTGTGTTTGGTTTTCTTCCTTTTAACCTGTGCTTCACCTTAGCCAAAAGGGAGTCCCAAGACACATTGTGTGAAGGTCAAGAGGGATGTTCCTTATACTTGAGTATAAGCGGAAGTTTCTAACTACAGACCCAATACCTCCAGGTTTAGGAAGTGTGACTCGAAATCCATTTACCTTATATCTAAGTTATTGCTACATGATCACAAATATAGCCTGTCTCTAAGGAAAATTGTGTCTATTTAATTCATTTCAAATTGCAAAATACTTGGAGTTAAGTATTCTTTATTTTTCCAAGTAATTCACTATAGGAATTCTTCAAATATAATTCTTCCAGAGCGTCAGTTTACAGGTCTATGAGAAAATTAACCACAAAGATGAAAGTATAATATAGGCTAAACAGGAAATAATTCATGCTTAAGTTTTGTTTATATGTTTTAAAATATATCCTTTCTGAAATATCTGGTGCACAATATAAAAGAAGCAACAAGATAATGTAAATTTTAATTCTGTAAGCAAAAGATGGAATACTGCAAATGAGATAATATTGATTTTTGAGTTGGGTAGGCCTGGTTTCTCCCTCCTACAAATAGTTGCCAACTTCCCTGAAAATTAAGACTCTTGCATTGGCTTTTCTTTGGGCAAAGCATAATTATCTGGGGGCCCTGAGGTAGAGAATTGAGACTTTAATCCAAACCTTCCAGGAAAAGACATCAGATTTCATTTCTCTCTCTCACTCATTCCCACCCACACTCAATGAGAATGTTCTTGCCTGACAGTTACGGATGTCTTTTGAAAGAGTCTTCATTTTGGCATTATTTTGACAGCCGATGGCACCAGAGAGAGAGGAGAGGAGACACAATTTTATAGCACATATTTTGGTGGTGTTTTTTTTTTTTGTTTTTTTTTTGCTTCTGTTCACTAAGTTTTACAACTGTTAGTAAAATTTAAATAATTCTAATTTCTTTAATGTTCCAATTTACCACTGTTTCCATGTTACCTACTAAAACTGTACTTTATAAATAGAATCAGAATCTTTGGAAATGAATTATAGTCAGAAAAGATGTTTTCTCAATCTATTAAGTGCACCAAAAGAAAATGGTAGTTCTATCGTGCACACAGCTTAATTGTGGCAAAATATATTACCTTACCGGATTTTGTCAATTTTGTAAGATAATCAAGTTAATTTTAGGTCTTTGCTACATCAATGACTTTTAAATTTATAGTGACTGACAATAGTGATTTGACTGTAAGTTAATCTTAGGGCATTTTATTCAACTATCTTAAATGAATATCATGGAAAAAAAATTTTGTGAGACTGTATATTTGCCAAGTGAGACTTTAGCAGAAGTATCTTTCTACCATTTCAAAGAGAATGTTTTCAGATTACAGTGTCTGCCTCTTTCTCTCTCTATTTTTTTATATTTTCCAATACATTCCAAGTAAAATTTCCTCATCAATCAGGAAGCAAATTCTTTGTTCATTCAAGCAGGAATATTACCTATTCTTGACTCCTGGCACTGTAAAATTAGCACCACTTACATTTTTTAAAGCAAATGAGCCTGCCTCCAGCTCCACAAAACAAAAAGAGTAAAGGTCTTGCAGGCTAGGGGCCCTGTAAGGAAGGCCTTGCTGGAGGGGAGGAGAGCCTGAGCAGAGGCTGACCACCAGTGTTGTCCTGCCCACTGCCCTGCCCCGCAGGCCCAGGACAGCCCTCCCAGGAGCACAGCACCCCTGCTTTGGGCTGATTCTGAAAGGCCCTTTCTGAATTCCAGAGGCACTTCCAGAAATGCATTTTTGCCTTGGTCTATTTGGGGGAGTGGGAGGATGGCATATATTGGCGCTCATCTAGAGGAGTTGCCCAAAGTACATGCTCAGTTTATAATACATATTTAATGTCTAAAATACAGTCCCCTCTCTCCTCATAAACAATAATTCTGCAAGTTTATTTGAGCTGACCACAAGGCCTAGGTTTTATCTCATATTATACCTCCAGACTGAGATATTTGTTGTTGAGTCAAGTAAATTTGGAGACTTCTCCCAGAAAGAGAAAGCACTACCTGAGCTGCTGTGTCACTGAACTCTCAGTTGTCTTTCTGAACCCCAGATTTATAAACTGTTTTCCCTTCCTGCATGCTGAACTAAAACATTAATCCTGAATGCCCAGGTCCACCCATCATTTGGTTTAAATTGTCAGATATTTATTGAAAAACATGATGTGCTATGATGCACCTTGGACAAGAAGAGTTTCCAATGAATTGAGTCAGAACTGAGGCGCAACTTCAGAGAGTGCTGTGAGGGCAGATGGCAAGGGTAGGGATCTAACTCAGTTTTGTTACTGTCTTTCAATCTTGCCTAGGACCAATCTTCAGGATTTTTTTGTTTTGTTTTGGATTTTGGTGGTTAACTATTTCAAAAGAGCTTTTAATTTCCAGCACAAGGTAGGCCTGCCTTTCCCCATACATTTCTGTGAGTGCTTAAGAAAGTAAGTTATTCTTTTTGCATTTTCCCCCTTCTTTGTCCTAGTCTCTCTCTTCTATTTTGAGACTTGTAGTGTTAAGAATAAGAAAAAAACATCATGAGGTAATTCAGTCATTTTTCCCATGAAATCTGTCAATTTTCTGGATGAAGATTCATTGTTAGACTATCTTAAGTCAGATTTTAATGCCGTAAGATACCTACTCTGTTATCCTGTTCACCAGAATTTTCATAAGGGACCAAACTAATACATCTTTTATTAAAATCATTGATTGATTATATGTGATACCTGGCTAATGACTATTTTTATTAGAAGCATGAAGTTTAAATTGCCCAGAACTATTTTAATATCCTTTAGCTTACACTCTTCCAAAATGTTTACCTATGACAACATTCTTAAGTTAGCAGCCATGTACTTATTCTCCTCTAGGAGAAATTTGTCAGGATTGCTTTCTAAAAATAACATAAAGCTCAAGGCCACTGAACACGAAATCAGTCTCTTTAACCTAACTTGTATCTCCTATAGTCTACCAGTCAGCACACAATGCATTCAGCAATTCCAGAATGACTTCATTTCCTTATTATAATCCCACATAGGCAGTTAAGTGGAAATAAAAGGTAATAAGAAATTTCTGTGTACAATTGGGCCTTGGTTTTCTTAAACTTTCTAACGACACTAATTTCTTTTGAAGCACATTGTGTATACATTTTCATCCACATTTAGAAATTAACATTTCCTTTTAACTTGTTATCCTTCCATGCAAAAGAACAGTCCAGGAGAAACTTTTAGAAACAAAGAAATGGAAGTTCAAGATTCTAAGCCAATCTATTTATTTAAAAATTCCCTAATAACCTGGAGATACCTTTAGCACTGTCTGAGGGCTCACAGATGAATTTCACACCTCCCCTTTGTGATCATCTGGTCTCTCGATATGGGGTTAAATGAAGCAAGCCCTGGGCCACTGGGGATTAGCTGCTCAAAGATAACGGGCTCACTCTGCCCAAGCTGTGATTCAGAACAAGCCAGACTCCAGTTCCTGAAGAGACCTCAATTACAGGCCAGGGGCTAATACTTCAAGATTGGCTTCTTAAACCTTCCTGCGTTAGGTTTTAGTCATTTCACATGCAGACTTTGACAGGGGAGATTTTAGATTTGTCTGCCTAATTAAGGCCTTATTGGGTAAACGTTGTTGAGAAAAGACTTTTAAGTTGCTAGCATCCCTTCTCTCCTAGTGCTACGTGTGAGGAGAATAGCAGAATCCTCCCCATTGTTGCCATTCATGTTCTTAAACACTGATAGGTTCCCAGGCTAGCTCTCGGATTGCCACGTGACTCTTGAACATGGATGCAGTTACATCCACTGAGAACCTGCACGATGCCTGGTGGCTTCCAGATATTTAGATCATTTCCCTCTGTGAATGAGTGGAAGCTGGGGCACATCCTTTTATTCTTGGCCTAAGCTCTGACAACCAGTGTCCTGAGACCAGTGGCCCAGTCTTCCTATTCCAAGCCTGATTCTTAGAGTTGCTCTTCTCTTGCAGCCCAAGAAATAACACTGGGGGCTGGTCTAGAGGTGATGAACCCTGCTGGCTCTGTGTGGGGCCTCAGGGAGGGAGGAAGGGAGGATGATGTGGAGTAAGGACAATCCTGAAATAGTGAGAGAGCGTGCACATCCCTGAGCACTGACCAGACACGTTCTCATGGGCCCTGTCTGTCTGGGGTGAATCCAACTGTGATGGGGGTTGCCACTCAGTTGGCTTGTTATCAGCATATCCCTGTAAGCCCATGAGATAAAAGAGAACGTTTGAGGCACAGCATGTTTATTAACATTGAACAGTGTAAATGTTAACCTTCTTTTTGACTGCCTTCTTCACAGCAAAATGTTAAACATTTTCTCAATTATTGTTTAAATTAAAATTCCATGGTTTCTGCTTTGAACTGCAGTATTTTATCACTACTGAGTCTCAGGACACTGCTTGATGTAATTAAGGTATTATGTGTTAAAACCTGTGTGGTTTAGTTCTCTTGTTTACTTTGGGAAAAGGAATGACAGGCACATATACAGTGTCTTAGTACTAATACTCCATTAGAGATTAACTCAGAGTGTTCGGGGATGACTGGGCATTATCTCAATAGACTTTCTTTCCTTGAAGGTGGAGGCTGGGCAGGAGTGTGTGATTCCACTAAATATAGCAGCTCAAGCCTTCAGAATGTCTCCGTTACACTTTTCACTTCTTTGCAGATATATGCTCAGTCTTTGTCCTTTTTCTGTCTTTGAGCTCTGGTGTTTCGCAGGATCCTCATACTCCTTTATACTGAATTTAATGAAAAGCTTTTTATAATACAGGGTGGTGCAAAAGTGGGTTCACAGTTGTGAGTACACGAAGCACAGAATTGGTTCTTGTATTATTACAATTTATTATTTATCGTGTTATTTTCCATATGAACAACCATAAACCTACTGTTGCTCCACCCTGTATGTAAGCCTGCCTTGCATTGCTAAAGTTATTAGTGCTTTTCTTTCTGCAACTTTTTCCACCATATTTCTAACGTGCATCTTGTTAAATGCTTTTCTTCACTTGCATTGTTTTCAACCAGTAGCTTTCTGCTTAGTCTCAATCTTAGGAAGACCCTGAGGTCAGGATCTTGAACTTACTTGAACATTGTAAGGTATTCTTCTCAGTTTAATCAGAAAGAGGGTGCAAGTAACTCTTCCTCCAATTCCAGAGAAGGGACGTGTCACGGCTGAGGTTTGAGCTGCGGTGGAAAGGCCCAGCTTGCCCCAGTTGACAACATCAAGACCTACACCTGCAGGCCCTTGCAGCAAGGCTGTGCAAGAGGAGCGGTACCTGGGTATTTGAGTCAAGCCCAAGTCTCAGGTCAAGGGTTTGGCATGAAGAGCATGATCTCTAGCACTATAATGGCAGTGGCTCTTTTCACACTAAAGAAAGAGGGGAAGCTGCTTACCCTTGACTTTCTGGTCACCATAGAGGACAGGGCAAGGGGCCAGCACACATCCAGTAGGGTGGGGATTTAAAGCATCTTCTGAGTTGTCAGATCATGTGATGAAAAGTTTTAGACAGACACATGAATATCCAGGAACCCCAGTCTTTGTTCTGAATGGCTGTGACCCTCAGATCTGCAGGCTTTCAGCAAAAAAGCAGAAGTCTTTATGGGGCTGACTCCTGATTCTCCCCAGGTAGAGTCTTTGCCATGCATGAGACTGAGAATGCTCCCTAATGCCCCAAACCTCAGCAGCAGTCGGTCAAAGGGCATCCAGATGTGGCCCAAGAGAATACCCAATCTTCACAGCTGTGTAAAGTTCAAGTCTCATGTTCTTACTGCCTTTTCCTTGTGACACAGGGTCAAGCATACCTGTCATAAAACATTGCTGGAGGAGGTGCAGGAGCTGGAAACGAAGATGGGAAAAGCAATGCTTCGGGACAGTAATGGAAAGAGGTGGGCATCTCCATCTAACTATTTGAAGAACACGTGTCCTCCAGCCCTTTTCTCTACTGTTCCTTCCCATGTTTCTCTCTTCTCAGTTTTCAATGTGAGCGTGGGGTGCACGGTTTTAAGCACTTTGGTTATTCTCTGAGAATATAGTCATGGTGAGACTTAAGTCACACTCTCCCAATGACAACATAAAACCTGACTTTCTAGTTCACTGAGCCTGACTACAAGTTCAACTGGAATTTTGACTTGGTCTGGACTTGAGCAAAGCAAGCCAGATGCAGAAAATACAAATAGTAGCAATATTACCTTAAGGTGAGAAAGTTTAATAGCGAGGCCTTTGGATATCAGGCCCAATTATTACACTAAAGGGTGAGTATCTACCATGGAAGTTTGTATGCCATTCATGTAAGTGCATATTATTCATAAAAATCGTGTCACAGTTTCCTTCATGTATAGCTGTGGCTTTGTTATTAATGAATTATCATTTCCTAGTGGTGTGGAGAAAGTATAGTATCTTACTGGCTAGATTGTGGAGACAAATACCATTGCTCCTTGTCCTTATTTCTCAGTGAGCATCAGCCTTCTCCTCCCCACACGTCATAGTTGAGCAGGTGCGTAGTTTCTATTGAATCGCATATGCTAAATTGTTATTAGATTAAATTTAGTTAAAACCCAAAAACTACCAAAGAAGTTTACCTGGGCCCAAGAGCAATGTGAGTGTCATGAAGAGGCACTACTGTATTAGAGACATGTGACATCTGGAAAACTATACTCTTTTATAGACAAATGCTTAGAAAGAAGTCTGTAGCTAACTGCCAATGAAAAAAAAGCTATAAGGAATACTTCCAGATTCCTACTATGTGTCTTATTTATAGTCTGCTTATTTGTACCATCTTTCAAAGTAATAAAGAAAAAGTATGTTTTCAAAGGAAAGAGAAACAAACATTTTGAAAAGTATAAGGAGATAATTTCCAATAATTGTCACTATTTTAGGAATGGGATTGTATAATATGTAGTTGAAGTTGTGGGTTTTGTGTTCATTTAGGACTTATTCTTTAATAAATTAGTCCATAGCATTCGTTTATGGCAATTGTGCTAGTCACTCTAAAAAAGTCAGCCAATAAGATAAAAATCTGTCTTCAGTAAGCTTACAATCCTGAGGCCCCCGGCAGGGCCTAGGCTCAGCAGATCTACCTGTTACCAGAGGTGAGGTAGCATGTGGCTCAGGCGTGAACAGGGCTGTCCTGCCCTTAGATACTTTAGGCACAATGCTTAGCTCCTACTAGATTTTCAAGGGCCTACAAAATTCTTTGAAATCTAAAAAGAAACTTATTCATAGGCTCTAAAAATAAGGGAAAATCTCTGCAAATTGAAATTAACAAATGTTTACACAGGGTTGCTGAGAGGTCATAAGTAATTCTAAGTAAAAGAGTTTCAAAGCAAAATTCTAAAACTTTCAAACATTGGACAGGAAAACACTACATATAATGTGGCATAGAGATTGCACTTTAATGAGCTGGAGCTGATGTGCGGAGGGTCTTTGCCGACCTGGCCATGAGGTAGCAGCACAGAGGGCCCTCAGAAGAGGGCCCTCCAGGAGGCTCTGGCTTAACCGATTCAGAAAGGCTTCATGTCCAAGATAGGATGAAAAACAGGGCTTTGAGGATGTAAAGAAATTGAAAAAACAAAAATGATGAGAGTGTGTTTCTGACAAAAGGAGTAGCCTTCATCTGTTAGAGAAGACAACTAATGTTTTGAGAGGAAAAGGAGTTACGGTTTATGAAACAATAGGGACAGCTGAAACCAGTTTGGCTCAGTGGTAGAGCGTCTGTCTGCGGACTGAAAGGTCCCAGGTTTGATTCCGGTCAAGGGCATGTACCTTGGTTGCGGGCACATCCCCGGTAGGGGGTGTGCAAGAGGCAGCTGGTCGATGGTTCTCTCTCATCGACGTTTCTATTATAGCTCTCTATCTCTCTCCCTTCCTCTCTGTAAAAAATCAATAAAATATATTTATTTAAAAAAAAACTATATGGACAACACAGCATGTTGCCTGACCCATAGCAGGAACCAGAACATCAGCCGTTGGTCTTCAGATTGGCAGAGGCGTCATGCTACTGCACTGAGCCTTGAAAGACAGTGTAAGCCCATCTCTGTTTGTTGTTGATAAAAAGAATTGTAAAATTCAGTTGTCCCATTCAGAATTCACTTTTAAATGTTCAAATGGATATCAGAAGGTCATCGGAGTTCAGATGTGGTTTCCTACCTCCTACGTTTAATATCTGTCTCCTGCTCGCTTTGTAAATGTCGTCACCTCCCTGGCTGCAGTGACTGTGGGTGAACGTCATTGTGCAAGCCCCACGCGGTAAAGATGGTTTCCTTTTCCTCTGGTCCCCGAGTCTTGCCTCGCTTTTGAGTTCCCAGCAGAAGGTAGTTTGGGACTCCATCCCTCACATCATCCTCAGCAGCCCCCCATTTGTTTTTCTCCCTCCTAATTGCTCCCAGGTTCTCTGGGTGTTCCATCTGCAAACTAGATAATGGCCATGTGCTGCTCTCTGCCAGAGGTTTTGTCCTGCTGAGCCTCTCCAGAGCTGCCTCACAATTGTTCCTTTACCATTGTTTGCTCCTTTCACACCTGGCTGGAGTCCTGTGCACCTCTGGTGCTGCTGGGGGAGGGAGCACCATGGGAGTGGGGAGGAGTTGGCGATTTCTTCAGCTCTGTTCTTCTAAAAATTTATAGACTCTGGTTGAGAGATCTTGAGTATTCTGGTCTCTTTCCACACTCCCCATTCCTTATTCCTGATCCCTACCTGATGTTTCCATTTATTTTGCATCTCTCTCTAGCTGTTAGCCTGACATGGTAGAAGCACCACAAACATTTGTTAGCTGACTGACTGGAAACACAGAAGTCTGGTCAGGTGGCGCTGAGGGAAGAAGGCTGACTGCATTGTCTGTGCAGAGCTGCTGTGCTGGGTGTGTTAGCTCATGTCAAAAGGGTCCCCAGAGAAATGCTAATAGGTTTGCAGGTGGTCACTTGGCTCCAGTGAGAGACACTTATCTCATGGCTTAAGAATAAAGCTAACAAAAACTCACAGATGGAGAGACATTTAGTGCTAGCAAAGTTGAACAGTCGTGGGTTGGGTCCTCCCCACAGCCCACAGCCATCCTGCCCACGCCGTCCTGCCGCGGGTGCCAGCAAAGCCTCTCCGCCTCAGGCGTTCTGAGCATCCCTGCATCCCAGGGTTACTCAGCTCAATTCAGAAATCCTTCAGGACAGTGTTTCCCAAACTTCCCTCATGATGAGAATCACCTGGTGGAGTCGTTAAAATACAGATTCCCGAATCCCAACTAAGAAGTGCTAAACTAGAATTTTGGGGAACATATAGGTAAAATTGTGTACTTAACTAGAGTTTCCTCTCACTGACCAATAGGAGGGAGGGGGATATATGTATACCTATATGTTCCCAAAAATTCTAGTTTAGCACTTCTTAGTTGGGATTCAGGAATCTGTAGTTTTAACAACTCCACCAGGTGATTCTCATCAGGAGAGAGGTTTGGGAAATACTGCTGTAGGACATTCCGCCAAGTCATAAAGCCCATGTCCAAGTCACTAGCAAATATACTAGCAGTTTTTCTCAGGAATGTATGCACAAGAAATACAACAAAAATCTTTTAAGAAACCCTCATGTGCCAAATTTACAATTACAATTTGAAATGGTAGCTAGGCAGTCTATGCATCCCTCTAGGCCCATTATTTACTCAGTAAAAGACTTGAATATTTTATTAATATTGTCTAAGCCCCAAACTGTTACACTATTTTGGTAAGCATTAAATTTTTATTAAATGCTTCTGCATGGTCGCATTGATGAAACTTGTCTTCTGAAATTAACCTGCATAATTTATGCATAAATAAGCCTCTTCTCATGACTTAGATAAAACTATATTTTCCATACTAGAAAGTATAGTAAAGTTCAAAAATGCTGAAGATAATGACAACAGTGGTTTTCTTGGTTTTAGTGTGTCTGTGTTTGGTGGAGCCTTTTCAGGCTGTTTGTGGCCAGACCCATCTCTACACGGAACTGTGTGGAAGGCCTTTCCCCAGAGCATCGTCCCAGTCGCCTTTCCCCAGAGTCACCCCGCTGCTCTCTGTGTGGAACAGTCTGCCAGGCATGTCCTTACTTCGCACATGTCTAAAAAATGAGGAGCTAATTGGAAGAATTCCTTTTTTCAATGTTTAGGTCATTTCCTCCCTTCTATATTCCTAAAGTGTAACATATGCAAATTTTTTCTGATGGAAGAAGACCCATTAATGTCCATTTACCTTTAAAAATATCATTTAAACAAATCCCTAAAATGTCAGTAAGAGGACAAACTAGCATTTTTCCTCCTCGAATTGCTTTTCTTTCTTGGTGTGGGGGAGGGAGTATTCAGAGTTTTTGGTATTTTGTCAAGCAAGAAGAAAGGTGAATACATTTGATGAAAACATCTAGTTTTTCACTCATACTCAGTTTGAATAAACAACAAGGACACCCTTGTGTTGTTGTAGACCTTCCTTCTATTCACCATAGTTGACGGGAGGTGGGGGGAAGGCACTGGGCTGATTTTCTCCAGTTTCAAGGTCAAGGAATTCTGGTTGCTGCCCCTGCTTTTTGCCAGCAAGGTGGTGGGATTCTCTTTCCTTAAGTGCTTTCCCTGCCTGAGTATAGCTTACTCTTTGCCTTTGGCCAAGGTCACCACTTTATGGTGCGCGATCACTGAATCTCCCCTTGGGTTTCATGTTCTCCCTGAATGCTGATGCATGGGCTCCTGACCCCAGGGCTGAGCCGGCGCACACAGTGTAATGTACACAGCCTCCGCCTCTTAGAAATTCAGGAAAGAAATCTGAGTCACTCCTCCGTCTGGGAGCCTGTGCTCACCCAGCTTCCATTTCATCACGACTCCTGCTACAGAGGCAGGGCGCCGGTCCAACCTGGGAATCCTGATACAGGACAGAGCCTGCCACACATCAGCCAGATCTCAAACCAATGAGAGCTTATCCCTCACTCTGGGCAGCACTCTCCTCATACTCTTCCTAAAACCAATTCTATTAAAAACAACACACACACACACACACACACACTCACCCCCCAAAAAAACAAAAAAAAAAAAAAACCACATTTGGAGTGAGTAATCACCTAAAATATATCCAATATGCTTTGATGTTTAAGCAGAAATCCTTTGTTTTTTAAACTAATGTTTAAAGAGCTTCTTGGTGTTGTCACAAGTACAAGTCAAAATTTGTACAACTGCCTGGTCAAAAATAGATATAAGCACACCAGCTTTATTGTGTAGTATTTCTCCAATATAATTTATTTTATTTCAGGGACAAAATTTTTTTCTTAATATATTGGCATTGGCAATGCAAGTTTCTGTCTTCCCTTTGCTTTCTTCTCACTGTTTCCCACACTTATTTCCCCTAAAATATCTTTTTTTTTAAAATATGTTTTTACAAAATAGATCTAGAGACATAGAAGGATGGAACAGACTGGCAAATCTCAGAGGGAAGGAAGGAAAGGGTGGGTAGGTGGGAAGAGATCAACCAAAGAACTTGAATGCAGACATGCATAACCCATGGACACAGACAATAGTGGGGTGAAGGCCTGGGGCAGGGAACAGGGGTGGCCTAGAAGGGGTCAATAGGGGGGAGGAGGATATATGTAATACTTTCAATAATAAAGATTTTAAAAAGTAAAATAAATTTTTATTGATTTTAGAGAGAGAGGAAGGGAGAGGGAGAAAAACATTAATCAGCTGCTTCCTGCATGCCCCCTACTGGCACCCTGGCTTGTGCCCTGACTCAGAATTGAACCAGCAACCTCTTGGTGCATAGAACAGTGCTCAACTAACTGAGCCACACAGGCCAGAACTCTCTTGTTTTTTTAATTAGCTAAAAGGGTAGGAAATTATGGTGTCATTTTGGCAAATCTCTCCAGGCCAGGTGGCAAATGTCTGCTTCCAACACCTGGTTAAGATTTATTTCACTTCCAGCCACATTTTTCCCATGGCTGGGTCATGACGTAGAGAAAAGAGCACAGACTGTAGAGGCAGACGGACCTGAGTTGGAGTCCAAGCCCTGCCACTCACTTAGCCATGTGACCTTGGCTGGGTTATTAACTTCTCTGAATTTTAGTATTCTCATTATTCATTTGATTCGAGGTTTAAATGGAATAGAACATATTAAATCGATAGCATATGTAGATATTCAGAAAGTGTTAATACTCATATGTCCATCTGCTGACTTAGAAGCTGAATCAAAATTAAGTTTCACTGGCCATTTTAATTCAGATGGGTTTACCCAGAGTGCACAGACAGAGTGTGAGTATAGCAGATTCTCTGGGGTACATCTTTGGGATACACCTCAGGCAAAGGGAGCAGGCAGCGATCATCTCAATCCTAGGCATATCAGAGCAGTGTGGGCAAGCCTGTGAGCCATGAGCTTTGGAATTGTGGGTATTGGGGAGATTTCAAAATCCTGGCCATTTCCCAAGTCATCCTGTTTGCAAAGAGGAGGTTGTACCAGTCAGGCCGCCTCCCCCAGTCCAGAGTCTCCTGCTGAACTGCTCCCAGGACATCCACTGAAATGCAGGGCATCGCCTAACCTCACCTTCCCTCTCAGAACCAGCCCTTTCATTGTGGTTCTCAGCCCCTGCAATGACAGGTCGTTCCCTCTCAGCCTTGTCTCCTCTTCATCTTTGCATCCTGAGGGACATCAGTCTCATGTGCCTTCCCATAGATGGGCGGCTTTCCACCCACTTGTCCACAGCCTGTTTTGGAGGTCAGTTACCGATCCCGTGCTGTGATCCCAGCTGGTCTGCCACTGGGACGCCTTTCCCTCTTTGCTCCATCCTCCACACAGCTGAAGACCTTGTTTCCCAAGCACAGCCCTAGCCATGACACTCTGGTCTGAAACCTTGGATGGCTTCCCACTCCCTGTTGAATCAAGCACAGACCAGGGCCACAGATGGTTTCTGCCTCCTCTCCCTCTTTTTACCTGCAGTGCATTTTAGCCTCCTGCCTCCCTGCCCTCCCCAGCTCCCCGCACCAAGCTTGCCTTGCTCCTCTGTGCCTTATGCTGCCCTCGGCCCTTCTCCGTGGACTGCTTTTACCGGCTCTGTCGGTGCTGGGTTGAGCTCTGGGTCCTTGGGGACAGAGGAGACAGACTCTTATCCTGGAGCAGATGCTTCCAGCTCCAGGCCTACTCTGACATCACTCCACTGTGTCTGACTTTTCCCAATATGGTGGTGTCAGCCTGACTTCCCTTAATACATTCCTTTAAAAAGTATTTTTTAAGTTATTCAAATATTCAACATACACAATAGCAGAGAGACACAATGAATTGACATATACCCATTGTCCAGATTCAACACTTATCAAGATTTTGCCATAATTGCTTCATCTAGCCTGGTTTTGCTCCTAAGCAAATCCTAGACAGCACTTTACCTTATACACTGCAGGATATAGCTCTAAATATCACATGAAGTGTTTTAACATGTATTATGTCTGCGTTATTACATGTAAACACTATAACCTCAATGCCTATTATCATATGAAATACTAACAGTAATTTCTTGGTATTAACTGATAGCTTATAAACAGATTTTAAGGATTGTCTCAACCCTATCTTTTTAGGGTTTTATTAGGTTAGTATTAGGATCTAGGGAAGATCCAAATTTGGTTGCCTGTTCTTGTTTTCAATGCTACGGGCTTAACAGAAATCATGCCTCATTTTCTGTTTCTCCTAAGCTTATCAGCATGTCCTACTCATGCATTTTCTCCCACACGGAAAAGGGAGCACGGTTTCAGTGACCTTCCCAGTGCGGCCCAGCCTCTTTCCATAAAGCCAAGATATTGAGAGCCACCCAGTGCTTCCATTTTCAATGTCATCTGTATTGGAGAGTGTGGAAAGCAGTAGAGTCCTAGAGGCACCAGGCAGGGAAAAGGTCAAAGTCTGCTAATTTGACAACATCCTGTGCAAAACTCCAAGGAAGCTGCAGAATGGTAGTTGAATGCTGTTGCCTTTCAGATCCCTCTATGTAGAAAGAGTATGGAGCAAACATAGAAACCAGACCCTCCTCTGGAGGAATACAGAAGTCAAACAGTCTGACAACTTCAGAGCAAATAGAGCAAAGGGGTGTGTGGCCACTGTGACTGCCTCCATACCGCTCAGAAAGAAGACAGAACAGAGGAAGGTGATCTCTAGCCAGAATCACCTTCACGGGGACTGGTGTGGTCTATAAAAGAAATGAGTTGAATGTGTTTCATCTTGAGTAGGAAAGACCCTTGGGCAAGGCCCGATGCCAGCAAATATCTTAGGAAAACAATCGGAGCGTCCACAACATGTCCAAAGGAAACCTCCAGCCTCGCTGCCAAGTGCTCAGAGCAAAGGAGGAAATGCATTGGTGGACAAAGGAAGCAAATGATCCAAGAAATTACAGAAAGGCTGACTGGTTCCCAAAGGGTGGTTTCTGGTGACTGCATCCTGGGCACCAGGAGAGGGTGAGGAAAATAAACTGTTGAGGAAGCAAGACGCCTAATTAGCATTTAGTTAATGCTTAAGCTGTCTGTGTCAACTAAAAATAATAGATTCTCTCTTATTTTATGGTTGTTAAATCCCAAGTGCCCCTGTCATCATCGTTGTTGTTATAGGCTAGTGTTTAATAATTTAAACTTTTGTAAATACCATGTGTTATTTGTTGTGACATAATAAAAGAATGTCTTGTGCACCTTTAAGTGGTGCTGCTGACAGTACCAAGAATCTGCCCAGGAGCTTAGCCACTGCCCAGTGCTGTAATAAAAGGATTATAGCATCCTTATCGAATGTCTGGAGAGGAACTGGGAGGAACAGCGCTTCCTTGTGAGAGAGGGAGGGGAGCTGTGTGCTGTTACTCAATGCTGCACTGATAGCATGTCCTCAGGCTGTATTTTAGGATGACTTGAAAAAATTTACTTTTGGATTAAAACCTAAGTTAATGTCCACTTTCTCTATTTGCCAATAAGACCGCTTTTCAAAAATCATTTTTACTCATGAAGTTAATGTCAGTAACTAACTAGTACTGATGGCTCATTATGTCCCTTTGAAAGTAATATGAAATATTTCAGTCCTTTTTCTGGAATTTGTTTTTATTTAACCCATATGAGCAATAATAGAAATAGTCAAAGGTAGATTTAAATTTTTTTTTCCTTATGTAGGTCCAATACCGATATGCCTCATGCCAAGCAGGATTAGTTCTTCAAGAGATTCTTAGAGGATCTTGGTTAATCACTTTTTTACTTCATTATCAGTGACCTGTTTGCTTTTCAGTTTGACTCCTCTTCCTCCTCTCCCTTTAAAGCAGCTGAAAACAGGTGACCAGGTACAGCCATTCTGAAATTGAGTTAGAGTTTATACCTAACCCAAGAATAACCAGATTCTATTGCTCATTTCTCAGTGGGCTACGCATAAATCCTTGAGGAAGCTGAGAAGCAAAGAGTGGACTTTCTGGCACCCTGGAAGCACAGGTTCAGAGTTGTTTTTGTAGTTTGTTTAAGAGAATTATGGAATCTCTTGGATGCACTGGACTCAGAAGGAAAAGGAACCCAAGAATCAATGCTAGCCACTTTTCATTACAGCTGGTGTCCCTGGCGTGGTCATTGTTGTAAGGCACCGTGGTCCCCATCTCTGTGTCTGCCGCTGGGAAAGATAACTAAGGCCCGTTTGGTCACAGGTGAATATGATATCTTTGACCTCGTGGTTGAGATGAAGATAAAGAATATGTAAAAGTTACAGCTAGGAGGTGGTCATTGCAGAGGAAATCACTGTACTTAGCAATAATAGGTTTATTGGACTTTTGGAGAGATTTCTCTTTTAATAAAAGCAGGGGGGGAAATTGGTGTGTCTCCAGTAGTGCACCTAGGATTAAATCCTTCTTGAGACCAGAGCACAGGAATACTTATCATAAAGCCTGTTCTTTAGCCATTCAGTGATACCAGTTAAGTCTGCCCTTTCTAACAAGGCAGTGATAATACAGTTTGTCAGTGTTTTTTCTCTTCCTCTAGCAATTAGGATTGGCTCAAGGCACCTCAGGTGGTGGTAATTGGAAATTCACACTCACTGATGAGTAAACATGTTGGCTTCCTAGCAAATAGAATTAGTAGTAGACTTAATACGGGACAACTCATTTATTCATCCACACCACAGACACGTATTGAAGACTGAGGACATGCCAGTCCCGGGTGTGGCAGGGAATGAGACAGACAGGTTCCCACTTTGTTAGAGCTTCTATTCTGTGGGAATAACAGACAATGAACAAACAAGTGAACACACGAGAGTCAGTGACAACTGTTAGGAGGAAAATGAAAGGGGCTTCTAATGGAGAATGGATGACAATGTGTAGAGGTCAGGAAAGTGTCTCAAATTGACACTTACACTGAGACCTAAATACAATAGAAGACATTGCCCACTCGTTAGAGATCTGGGGAAGAAACACTGCAGGCAGAGGAAGAGCTGGTAGGAAAGCCCAAGGCGGGAACACACTTTATTTGACTGGTGACTTCAAAATATTGGGCAAAATCATCTAAAAAGCTGCAGGGGCAGACACTGGGGGATTTGTGGGCAGGACTGGAATCAGATGTCAGTCTCCAGGGTTTAAGCAAGGGAAATGTATGACCTTGTTTTCTAGAAGATGTGATTCCCATGCCATATTAAAGCCATAGAATCCCATTCTCAAATTAAAAAGTTAAGTAAAGCCCAACCTGCATGGCTCAGTGGTTGAGCGTCGACCTATGAACCAGGAGGTCACAGTTTGATTCCTGGTCAGGGCACATGGTTGGGTTGTGAGCTCAATCCTCAGTTGGGGGGCATGCAAGAGGCAACTGATCAATGATTCTCTCTCATCATTGACATTTCAATCACTCTCTTCCTCTCCTTTCCTCTCTGAAATCAATAAAAATATTTTTTAAAGTTAAGAAAAATCCTAACCTATAAAACAGAAAGTATTTATTAGTATAAATTTATTATAAAAGATCAGATTAGCACATTTATTTGTTTTAAAGCCAGTGGTAACAAATGATTTTCAGAATGTCAAAAAATTTGAAATAAGTGTTATGGAGGACAGATGTTTTATATCATCTATATCTAATTTTTTTCTATTTTCTATTGGGTTGTATTGAGAAAAATCCTGATGTACCAAGATTAATTGCCAGTTTTAACAGTTTCACAGTTCACTTTGTAATCTCAGAAAATTTCTTTTTTATTTTTTATTATATTTCATAGTTATCTTTAATTATTAATTGATATATAAATATAAAAATACATAAATAATTTTTAAATTTGCTTAAATTTCTTATCATAAATATGTGAGTCATATAAAGACATGATTAACATTCATGTAAGCACTAAAACTCCCTAAAATAGCATCATGTAATAAATGGATTATTCTCCTCTTACTTGACTGACACATTCAGATTGGAGCATAGGTCAAGCAATGCATTGTCAGTATTATTTTATTTGGACACATAAAAATGTTTTCTTTAAAAAAGCAATATGCAATATAACCTTCCTAATAAGCCTATTCCTAAATTCAAATATAAAAACCTTAATCTCACTGAGACCGGTTTGGCTCAGTGGATAGAGCGTCGGTCTGCGGACTGAAGGGTCCCCGGGTTCGATTCCAGTCAAAGGCATGTACCTTGGTTGCGGGCCCATCCCCAGTGGGGGTGGTACAGGAGGCTGCTGATTGATGATTCTCTCTCATCGATGTTTCTAACTCTCTATCCCTCTCTCTTCCTCTCTGTAAAAAATCAATAAATATATATTTAAAAAAAAGAACCTTAATCTGAAATCTTTACAGAAACAAGTTAACTTTAAAATTCAGATTTTATCTGAATTATATGAAATATTTATAGATTCATATTTTAGTTAAATATTTTGAAAATATTTAATATATATAGAATGTGGTGTAAAAACTAGTGTTTGAAAGAATGTAAATAGTGCTGTAATCTTAAAAGCATATATTATCCTTGTATTACAATTTAGTCACAAAGTTCAGTTACACACATTCTTCGAAAGCTTTGAAGTCTTTGGAAAGAATATACACCTAGAGAGGAAATAGCACAATTTTTTTAACATTACTTATGCATCTAGTTGAGGAATATAAAATGAAGAATTTTGGTATTTAAATTAAAAAGTATCATTTAGACAAGAATTATATATATATACTCATTGAATTTGCTGATAAATATAACTTTTTATTACTAATGGAATAAAAAAAATTAAAGCCATCAGTTTTGAAATACTGAAGAGCCCTAGCCGATTTGGCCCATGGACTGAAGGGTCCTGGGTTTGATTCTAGTTAAGGGCATGCACCCTGGTTGCAGGCTCCATCCTGGCCCCAGTAAGGGTGCATATAGGAGGCATTCAATTGATATGTCTCAGATTGATGTTTTTCTCTCTCCCCCCCCCCCCCCACATTCTTTCTAAAAATCAATGCAAAAAGCTATCCTTGGGTGAGGATTAATAACAACAACAACAAAAATAAATTTAAAAAATACTGAAGAAACTAAAGTCAAAAACTTTGAGGAGCAGCATAAATGTGGTCTTCAACCAGTTCATCAGAATCAGAAATAGTGAGGATTTCATCAGATTGCTGCAGGATTTGAATCCATTCTGTTCTAGTGGCCCACTATAAACAAGATTGTGAATTAGATTAATTATATTGACTATAACCAGCAAAGGATTGTTAACTATACTCGAGATACAGTTAAAGGTATAGCTGAAAAACTAGATACCACCAGCAGGATGATATGGGAGAATGGACAGGCCTTGGGAAGGATTCTGACAGAAAAAGGAGGAGTTGTGTAATGTTGGGGGACCAGTGTTGTACATTCATCCCAGACAATACAGCCAGTGGACCTTCACTAAGGCCCCACAGGGATTAACAACTCTGGCTTGAGTCAGCTGAGAATCCTAGGATCGAGGATCCTTTCTCTAGTTCACTAGAGCAATGGTTAGGAAAGTGGAAGGAAATGGTGGGATCCATATTCACCTCTTTGATTAAGAGTTACATTAATGGAATTGTTATATCTATCATCCCATGTATGAGAGATCTTATGCAAAAGTTAATTGAAACAACATTGACCAACAGCAAAATAATCTTTTCCTAGACACTGCAGAGCATGAAAGTAAAAGAATGTTAGCAGAGTTTGAAGAAAAGAGCTAAATAAAGAAAAGGGAGAATTGTGAGAATAAACAAATAATCTTTCCTGTCAAAGAAGGGAGTTTAGGCAGCTGCCATTTTGGCTCATGTGACTTGCCATTTTGAAATGGCAATGGTCAACCCCTTCCTTTAAATTAGCCAATCACACAAGAGTGTGAGCCTAAGCTCTTCCAATCAAGAGTGAGGGACAGATCATGTGTGTCAGAAATAAAAACCTGAGCGGACCGCCCATCCAGTGTGTGTGTGCTTCCAGATCATGTGTTTGTGCACCCTTCTGCAGAAGTAAAGATATTTGCCTTGCAAATAAAAAAATAGAAAAGAGCCGACACAGGTTTGGCTCAGTGGTAGAGTGTCGGTCTGCGGACTGAAAGGTCCCGGGTTCGAATCCGGTCAGGGGCATGTACGTTGGTTGCGGGCACATCCCCAGTAGGGGGTGTGTAAGAGGCAGCTGGTGGATGTTTCTCTCTCATCGACATTTCTAGCTCTCTGTCTCTCTCCCTTCCTCTCTGTAAAAATCAATAAAATATTTAAAAAAAAATAGAAAAGAAATAGTGAGGATTTCAGATGGAGAAATTTTAGCTATTCGGTGTATTACTAGAATGATAGTTGTTTTGTTTATTAAAGCATTAACATATTACCCATATCTCTTGCCCTCCTGGCTGTGTCCTACCTATTCAGAAAAGCACTTGCGTTTTTAAAAAGAAGGGAGGCCGCCCAGACAGCAAGACTCAGTGGTTGAGTGTCAACCTATGAACCAGGAGACCATTGTTCGATTCCCATTCAGGGCTCAGGCTCAATCCCCAATGGGGTTTGTTCCAATCAGTGGTTCTCTCTGATCATTAATGTTTCTCTCTCTCCCTCTCTGAGACCAATAAAAATTTATTTTAAAAAGAAGGGAGGATAGGAACTTGCTGAAAATACTTTTATTGTGTGGAACTTGGGCTCATTGGCCCATTGTTCAAGCTCTCATCTTTCTCCATCCTCATAAATCTACTGAAAAGTGAAGAACTGCCCCAGTTGCTACAGGCCAGAGACAGCACCCTTGGCACGCTCCTAGTTCATGCAGTCTTTCACCCGCGGCAGAGATGAAAGACACCACAGCACTCAAAGGCAAAGAGGTGTCCGTGTGCTGTGTGCAAGCCTTGCTGCTGCCGTGTTGCTGGACAAATCAGTTGTATTCTTTGCTTCTTTGCCAAGACATTCACAGATATTCTGTATATGGAGCATTTGAGACACAATGCCTTTCCAAAGGAAAATCTAAGTGAGCTTTTTCTTTGATAACCCAGAGAAATGTGGCAGCTATAGGGTTCTGCTCCATCATGGCCTCTTCTTGTGTCCATAATCATGCCGCCCCAATTCAGCTGGCTGAAGATCACATTTCTGCTGCTCCTCAAAGTTTTTGACTTTAGTTTCTTCAGTATTCAAAAACAGCTAATTTGTATCTGTGCTGTTTCGTAAGGACTGTCCACAGGCAAAGTGCCCTGTGTGACCCAGAGGAAGAATTTTCCTGCAGACTTTCAGGAACCTCTCCCATCAGGCCCAGCAGACATCCTCATTTATGTACTTTAGATCCTAGGCTCTTATTGTTTCTCACAGGTGACTTTTTCTTCTTCCCTTTTATATAATATTCTCAGAGGACATAACCACATCATTCCATCAAGTTTACCTCATCGTTGTGTCACTGCTGTGTTCCTTGCATTGATTCCTTTCCTGAACACAGCAGCTTATACCATGATTAGGTTTCTTTTTTTTTCTTACTTTTGTTCTTTTATAGCTCTGCTGGCGCACGTCCAACGTATGACATCATTAGAAATGTTGTACAGGCTCAAATGCACCTTCTCTTTAGCCATTCTGATTCTCTGTGCTGCTGTTCATGTTAGTGTCAGCAGTAAATATTTTTACATTTCTAACAAGTGAGATGTGTGTGTGAGTGAGCAGCATTTCCCACCTACTTCTACCGTTTACAGGAACAAAAGAAAATGAAGTAACAACAACAAAAGAAAAACCTGATCATAGAATTGACAGTGACGTTTATAATCTGTTCTCCCAACATTTTGTCCACCCATCTGCAAGCAGCGCAGGACACAGTGTGCTTTTAATTTTCATGTTCTTCTATGAACCATTACCTATTTAGGTCTAAACTCTTACAAACTATTTTCACAAAACACCCATTGAGCAAGTAGGATCATGATATTTTTTTAAGGCGTGTGATTGGGTGATATCCTGTTGTTGAAGTTTTAAATAGGTTTCTCTGACAGGGGTCAGCTTGGATAAAAGTAGATTTTTTGAGAATTTTCTACACGTGGTTGCTCATATGTATTCGCTAACTCAGAGATGCCAGTGTTGTCGTCCTTCCTGGTGATGCTAATTCAGGCATGAGCATGTATTGAATCCTTGCATTTTTCTAGAGATCGTGCTAGACAATAAAAAAAAAAAATTCAAGTAATGATGACAGATGCATAGGTAGAGACAGGAACACATTGTGAAAAGTGTTTTGATAGAGTGATGGAGAAACTGCCATCAGAGCCCAGGGTAAAATAGAATTTATCAGGGAGTCCAGCAGAGGAAGGGAATTGGGCTGCAGGGGATGGCTGGGCAGATGTAAAGAGTTTTCCAGGCACAATGAAAAGCTCAGTCCTGAACAGGAGTTCAGGGTGGTGAGAAGTTAGGTTGGATAAGTAGGTAAAAGCAAAATCATATGGTCTGTGATGAGGTTGGGGCTTTATTCTGAAAGCCACTGGGAACTATCAAAAGTCTCACATAAGAAATAACTCTAGAATGAGATCTTTGGATATAAAATATGAAAAAAGAGCCAGTTGACCAGTCTTCACCAGGGTCTCCACAGTTTGTCCTGTGACCGCAAAGTTTCTGTGTCCCGGGACTCCTCTCCCACATGCAGGTTCGTATTGGGATGTGCATACTTCATCTGAAAGTGTTTGGAAGTTACCTCTCACCTCTGCTCTAAAGCAACTTAACACTGAGGAAAAGTTTTCTTACAGTGGCCCACACCCTTTTTGAGGATAAAAGGACATTATAGGGCCTGGCAGATAAGCACTAAGTAACCAAAAGTGCAAATTTAGAATGATGCCCCTGAGGCTGATCATAAACCCCTCTCCCGCGCTGGCATTCAGGACACTGGTAAGTTGTGGGATTCAGTTTCTCATGCAAGACCTACTCCTTCTGTGGAAATACTGTGTGCCGGTTACAAGAATAAAAAGCTGATAAAATTCATATTATTGCTATGAATTACATCTAAAAAGTGTACTTTTAAAAATAACCACCAGGCATATCTCAAGGTCACAAGGCCAAGGTCACATTCTGTTTCTCTTCCACTCTATATCTTTTCCATGCATTCTCCTGCTCTCTGTCCTGAGCATACACTCTTGGTTCCTTAAAGTCTGTCCCTGGGCCAATACTTCTTTATTATTTTGGAAAAAGAACTCCTGTATCAGGTACAATGCTTTCAGTTCCAAATAGCAGAGGCCCTAATTCAAAAAGCTCTTCAGGATGCAAGAAGTAGCTGGCTCATACTGCTCTAGGGCAGTCATGGCTGTGGTCCCCAGCCAGGAATGTCATCAAGGACCCAATTTTTCTTCCATCTTTTCACTTTGCTCCAACATGTCATAATCATTTTGCCCCACACCCCTGTTCTGACTACAGGGAGGTCACTCCATGTGCAACCTTGTTCGAAACCAATGGAGCGGGGAGTTTGCCCTGATGAGCAGTTAACAAGTTCCTGTTTTCCTTGATGGGACCATCCCAAGCCAAACCTTACAGGTTGGCTCACCAGAATCAATCTCTGTTGGAGGTGTGGGTGTCACTGTTGAGTGTTCCTCAGCAGGAAAGGGAAGAAATGTCTACTTTAGCCTTCTGATAAACTGATGAGAGCGATGCCCCACATCCCTCCATGTCAGCTTTGCATTAAAGTTTTAAAGGATCCACCAACCCCCTGACAACTATCATTCTTTTTTTTCTTTTTCTTTTTATTAAAGTATTATATGTGTACAGATCTTACCATTGTGCGCCCCCCCCCACCCCCCACTGTCATTCTTTATCTTCAAAAAAGAACACTCTTCTCAGAGCAGAAATGCATCATACTCTTAGATTTCAGCACTTCACTGTACTGTATACTTCTTCAGGAAGAACAGTGGTCAAACACTGGGGATAAATTGTGACTTTTAGTTGCTATTTCATAATTTTTATGGATGACCCAAGAAGAGGCCAAGTAATAATATATAAATAACTTCAAACATTCAATTCTTTTTTTTTTATTGTAATACAAAGGTTGTTCCCCCCATTGGGAAAGTTAAGGCAGGGGAAGATTCCTCCTCCTGTGCCCTGTGTATTTTTATTTTTTCCATGTCTTTCACCATGCTATCCCCACGTCAGTTGCAATGAGTCTTTCCTCAGACTGCTAGGTAACAAGTGTGAAGCAATCTAGCCAGACCTGTCAGGACAGCCTCACATTGTGTAATCCAGGTTAGTCTTTTCAGTGAGGGCTCCTCTGCAAACTGGAAAACATGAGCAAGCAATGATGTGGACACTCATCTTACTTTGCGATTTTAAAATAAATGGTTTGCCAGAAATACTGGACAGGTTTAACAGCTGTTCTACCTGGAAGAAGGCAAGGGCTGACCTCTGAAGAGCTTGGCTCTTGGCTATCCATGTGCTTATCAGTTTTCTCTAAACTCTGCTTTAAAAGAATGAGAAGGCCCTGGAGAAGTCTGGGGATCACCTCACTCCCATCTCCTCCTGGACAGCACTTCCTTCCTGGTGGGGACCTGAGAGATCTGAGGAGTTGCCTAGACCACCACGGCCACCAGCCAGTGGAGTCGGGGTTACATTTCTCAGCCTTCTGCAATCCAGGCTGTCGATCTGGGTCTCCATCTGATCAGCTCTCAAATTGCACCAAAACGTTAACTTTCCCTTTTCATTTACCTTAACTCTCAAAAATCAGCATAAAGAAGGCATCTGCGGTATGGTTCTTGGTTGTTCCACATTGAACTTTACAGCAAGTATGGCCTCAATTTAAAATTCCTCCACTCTTGCTCTCTTTGCATTGCTGATTTGAAAACCCACTGTGTATACTCATCTTCTGCTGAAGAGTATGGGTTAATTTTTTAACCCAGGAACATTTTCAGATAGTTAGCGAAGCTGCTTGGCCACAGGAAACAAAGTTGTGTATGTATCTATACAGGATTTTGGATGAAAAATGAAATTTTAACTCCAACTCCAAAGCACCTCAACTAGATAATGGAGACCTGTCACGGGTTAGTGACTGAGGAGGGTCCAGCTCAAGCACCTAGGTGCTCAGC